GACTCAATTGGCAAAACTTTGAATGATGCAGAAAGCATCAAAAAGAAAATGGAAGGAATATACAACATCACTGCACCAAAAAGAAATGGTGAATGCTCAATCATTCCAAGAGGTGCCATATGATCAAGAATTGATGATACCGAAGGAAGAAGTCCAAGTTTCACTGAGGCATTGGTGAAAAACAAGGCTCCAGGAATTGATGGAATATAAACTGAAATCTTTCAACAAACTGATGAAGCACGGGAGGCACTCACTCATCTAACGCCAAAAAATTTGGAAGATAGATACCTGGTCAACCAATTGGAAGAGATACTTCTTTGTGCACATTCCAAACCTAATAGATTGTGGAATGTATCAAACAATATCATTAATATCACATGCAAGTAAAATTTTTCTGAGGATAATTCACAATTGGCTGCAACAGTCCATCAACAGAGAACTGCCAGAAATTTAAGTCAGATTCAGATGAGGACCTGGAACTAGGGATATCATTTGCTGACATTAGATGGATATTGGCTGAAAACAGAGAATACCAGAAAGATGTTTACTTGTGCTTTATTGACTATGCAAAGGTTTTCCACTGTATGGATCATGTCAAGCTATGGATACCATTGTGAAGAATTCCAGAACACTGAATTGTGCTGATGAGTGGTTTAAAATTAGGAAAGTTGTGTGCCAGGGTTGTATTCTTTCACCATACTTAATTCAATCTGTATGTTGTGCAAATAATCCTGGAAAGTGCATTATATGATATAGAATGTGACATCAGGATTTGAGGAAAATTCATTAACAATGATACTACCTTGCATACTGAAAGCAAAGAGGATTTAAAATATCTGCTGATGAAGATAAAAGACTACAGCCTCCAGTATGTATTGAACAAAAATCCTCACAACAAAACCAGTAAATAACATCATGTTAAGTAAAAAAAGAAAGATATTATTTTGTTTGGATCCACAATAAACACTCATGGAAGTAGCAGTCAAGAAATCAAAGATGTAGGATCTGCTGCACAAGACCTCTTTAAATGTTCAACAACAAAGATAGCAGTTTGAGGACAAAGGGGCAGCTGACCCAAGCCATGGTATTTTCAATAGCCTCATATGCACATATGGAGTTCTGGTGTGGCACTGTAGGATAAGCAGTGGATGGCAAAGTCTGAACTGCAAGGTCGGCTGTTCCAACTCACCAGTCACTCCTCAGAAACCCTATACAGGGTCGCTATGAGATGGAACCGACTCAAAGGCACATAACAACAACAATGTGTGCATGTGGAAGTTGCACAGTGAATAAAGAAGGCCATAGAAGAACTGATGCATTTGAGCATGTAGGAAGAATAATGAACATACCATGGACTTCCAGAAGAACAAACAAATCTGTTGTTAGAAGAAGTACAGCCAGAATGTTCCTTAGAAGTGAGGATGGCATGACTTCATCTCTTACACTTTTGGACAGGGTATCAGGAGAGACCAGGTCCCTGGAGAAGGATAGCATGCTTGATAAAGTAGAGGATTAGTGGGGAAAAAGGAAGACTCCAATTAGATGGACTGACCTAGTGGTGTCAGCAATGAACTCAAGTGTAACAACAACTGTGAGGAAGACCCAGGCCCGGGTGCTGTTTCAGTCTGCTGTGTACAGTGTTGGAACCAACTAGATAGCACCTAACAACAACAAAGTGGTCACATGATTGCTATGGCAAGGAGGTCTTGAGTCTATATGCACACCAACCTCTGTCTATAGACTAGATACTTCTTTTCAAATATATGAGGATTTTTTTTCTTTTAGTGTTTTAAGACTTTTCTGACTAAAGGGTAATACATGTTTGTAAGAAATTTTAATTTTAAACAAAAGATGTAGGATAAGCACTGAACTACTAACCACACGGTCAGTAGTTCAAACCCAACAACCACATCTCTAAAACCCTATTCAGGGTCACTATGAATTGGAAGCAACTCGACAGCACTTAACAACAACATGCAGTAGAAAATGACATCTAATAATCCCAACTCTCAGGATAGCTGCTCTTAAAACATTTCGCTCTAAATTTTTTTAATGTAATGTATGTTCTAGCAGATCAATTTTCAGAAGCAGAATGCTTGGTCACAGGGTATACATAGTAATTTTATTAGCTATTGCTTTCGAAAATGGCTGTTTATCAGTTTATGCTGTCGTTAAGTACAGTGAATTTGGCTGTGACTCAGAATGAACTTATGAATATAACAGCACAAAAGGTTTCCCAATTCCATGACACTAACTTACACTGGTTTACATTATTGACAGATTTAATTATTTAAAATGTAAGACTTCAAGAAACATAACCCAAAATCAATACCAAAGAGAAACTGAAAAAAAGTCAAAGAATTAATACCTCTCGTATATGAAAATTTCTTACAAATCAACAATCACAAGTGAAGATAATGCAAAGGTTATAAAAATAATCAGAAATACAAACTTTCAATACACATATAAACCAACATTAAATTCAACTCAGCAAAGAAATCCACATCAAATAAAAACAACGCATTATTTTTACCTATAGAATTAGCAAAACGTTTTGAAGACTAATACTACTTACCTGGCTGATCATGGAGACAGGGAAATAAGTAGTTTCTTAGACAACTGTCATTGTTGTTATGTGCCGTGGAGTTGATTCTGACTCATAGCGACCCTGCACAGGGTTTCTGAGACTGTAAACGGGTTTACGGGAGCAGAAAGCCTCATCTATCTCTCGTGGAACAGCTGGTTGTTTCGAACAGCTGACTGTGAGATTAGCAGCCTAATTCGTAATCACTATGCTACCAAGTGGGTAAATCGGTTTGACTTTTGTAGAGCATTGTAGCCATGTATCAAAATTTTAACATATATAGTCTCGGTATATATTAATTCTAAGTAGCCTCTGGTGGTATAGTAGTTATGAGTTGGGCTGCTAACCTCAAGGTCAGTAGTTCAACACTACCAGCTGTTCCGCAGGATAAAGATGAGGCTTTCTGCTCCCATAAAAATTTATAGTCTCGGAAACCCTATACAGGCTCACTAGGAGTTGGAATTGACTCTATGGCACACAACTACCATCACCGTATATCAATTCTACAGTTAGGGATTCGTATTAAGTCAGTAACTATAAAAGTGCACAAAATTTATTTATAGGAAATACTCAATGCAGTGTTGCCAATAATAGGGAAAAAATGGAAAACCTTGAAATGTTTATCAATTAGCAATTAAATAAATGTTAAAATCATTCAATGGAATGTCCTGTAGTCATAAAAGATGGTGCTGGTGTGATGCTGTAGGGTTAAGTACTGGACTGCTAACTGCAAGGTCAGTGGTTTGAACCCACCAGCTACCCCTTGGAAACCCTATACAGGGTTGCTGTGAGTTGGAACCATTTTGATGGTACTTATCAGCAAAAAGAATTCTATTTATTGTTTTAGCATGAAAAAAATGTATAAGACATTAAAAAACACATAGAATGACCCCATTTATATAAGAGAGGGCTTCAAAAAGTTCATGGAAAAATGGAACTAAAAGATAATGGGATTTTTTCCATCAGCTTTCTGACGTCCCCTTGTATATGTATATACCAAAACCCACTGCCACCCAGCTGATGTCATCTCACAACAACCTTAAACCATAGGAAAAATTCTATAAGATCCACTCATATTTCAAATATTAGTAGTATCTCTGTGTGGTAGAATCATGGGTAATTTTTCAATCTATGTATATTTCTGTAATTGTTTTATGCCATATGTGTATGTTCACTTTTCTTTTTAGGAAAACATTAAGACTATTTTCATCTAAAAAGTCAGGAATCAGTTGGCCAGAACCAGGTGAGTCCTACATCCATTCCAATTCTAACAGTCAATATAATAATTAATCAAATATTCATGCTAGGGAAGCTACTTCTCACACTGTTAAGAAAAGCATACTCAAGAATGATTATCTCCCAAGATCTTCTGAGAAGATTAAAACAAAACAATATAATATTCCTCATTCACATGACTTTCGGGCTCTTTTAATAACAGTGATGATTGAAGCTTAGGAGGAAAGAAAAGGGAAAATAAAAAGAAGATAAACCTCTGGCTCGGGCTAAACCTTTTTCAGGTTTCAAGACTACTCAAGAACATCAATGAAAAATCTCTAAATTTACACCCAAGAGCTAGAAACAGATTCACTGTCCTCAAAGATCTATGTAAGCGTTTATACAGGCAGTTTCCGTGTTATGAGCATCTGACTTAGGGACAACTCTTGCTTGCCCTTCAAGCAGGGCTTCAGACCAATTCCAACTAGTTTTATCTTGGCCAATGAAGTGAAACAGAACAGACCTGAATTTTTACAATTTTTCCTAGTAGCCAGAATGGGAAAAATTATGGATTGCCACCCCGGAACAGGAGACTCTGAAAAGGCACAGTAAAACTGGATAGTTGGCAAGGCCGCGCAGAGTCGCACACATTCAAATTGGTGTATTTGGCAGTGATGTGAGTGGGATGCCACCATCGTTGAGCCGGACAGCTCTACTTCAGCTCAAAATCCATTTTAAGTTCATGTAAAGTTTCCTTCCTCTGTGAAACAGAGGAACCAACCCCTCCAGCCAACCAATTCTTCCTCACAGTCACCTTCACTTACTGCATGTGCAGCTTTTAAATCATTGAAAAAGTTTGAGTATTTGCTTGCATAAAGCAAGGCTTAATAAGAACTGAATATACCAGTTCGATTGACCTCCAAATCCTTAAAGACACAGTTAGGAACAGATTTCATTTGTAACCTGGGGACTGCCTGTCATATCATTCTATTGAAAACAAACATTACTATTTCTGGATTGTAACTGTAAAAGAGAAGCTAAGGGACATGTAGCAAGTTAGACTTGTATGAAACTATCAGGTTACTTAACCTTTACTCATTACATTTAAAAAAAAGTTTATTAAGAGCATATTCAAATATTCAATTATGGTTTCAACACTTAAGAGACTGCATGTGGAATAAAATAACAATGAAATAATTACCTCTCCTATGAAGACTACTATAACACAGTCCAACTTCTCTTCAGGATACAGATTATCAATAAGGGAATGAAGAGTTTCTATGAGGTAAGACTTAACTTCTCTCTTCACCGTGGGGATTCCCATCACTATTGAAACTGAAACAAAATAATGGTAGTAATTACATAGTAAGATTTTATAAACACAACTTATAAAAACACAATTATTTCAAAAGTATTACCCACCCACTGCCATCAAGTCAATTTTGACTCATCGTGGCCCTATAGGACAGAGTGCAATCATTCCATTGGGTTTCTGAAGCTGAAAGTCTTTACAGAGGCCTACCGCCACATCTTGTTTCCATGAAGCATTAGAATTGTCAACCTTTTGCTTAGCAATACAATGATAAGGCCATTGTGCCACCAGAGCTCCTCCTCAAGAGCATTATACCTACTCAGTCTGACACAAATAAGTGAGGGAACAAAAATGAATGGCTTCCATCCTGCCCTCAGTATCTGCCATGGAATACACTGAGATGGACTAACACTTTTAATGTGTTCCTGCCCAAATGGAAATAATCTAAATTGAACCATAAGCAAACATTTGACAAATCCAAATTGGGGGGACTATACCACAAAACAGTTGGTCTGTACTGTTCTAAGTGTCCTGCTCATGAGAGCCAGATAAAGAATGAGGAACTGTTGCATACTTTTGGAAACTAAAGATACGTGACAAATAAGTGACATATGAGATCCTGGATTCGATGCTGCAGCAAGAAGAGAACAATGATACAAATAACACAACTGGAATAAGATGCAAGGTTAGTTAACAGTATAGCACCAATGTTGGTGTCCTGGTTTTAATCAAGGTGGTACTACAGTTATGCAATATGTTTACATTTAAGAAAATCGATTAAGGGCAGACAGCAACTATTTGTACCATCTGTGCAACTTATTTTTAGTCTAAAGCTATCGTCAGTTCTACTACACTGGCTGTTTTGAAAACAAAATTTATTCCAACATGATTAACATTATTAGGAAACAATTTGAGCACAATGTGAATTTCATACTTACTAGGTGAAAGCAGAAAATTGGACCCAGCTGAACTGAGTTCAGAAAATTGAACTGAGCCACATAAAAAAAAAAATACAGAAAATGCACACACCTCAACACCTTACCAGTTCACCACAAGCAACATGCCCATCCACATCTGGTGCGACAGCTCCCCATCAGATAACACCATGCACAATTTCACAGTAACTTGCCGGCTACAACCCTGCTAACACTTACTTCCACACACAGAGTTTAGGTCTTTTTCAAAGTACAGTACCATATTTATTACAGTATTTATGCCTTTAAGATTTTAATGCATACGTGCTTATCTTTTTTTCTGTAACTGGAAAAGTTGAGTTTTGTACTGCTAACCTCATTTTGTTGCACAATTTTGTATAGTTTTCAGGAATGCATATGGTACATTATAACAAAGCTGCTTATGCATTTCTTAATGTATTTTGTTATTGCTGTTGAGAAACTATACAGCAAAGCACAGCTGAACAGCAATTCACACATTTCTATGCATATAATTCAGTGACAATTATTCCATTCTTTCAGTTGTACAACCCTTCTTCCCACCATCCCTTTCTGAATTGTTACTGCCTGATTACCTTAAGTTATTGACCCCAAGGCTCCTATTGAAGCTTTTGAGTTGCTGTTGTGACTTCCATCCCTTATAGTTAGTTTATATGTGTGAAGTTTTTATTGTGAATTAAGTGACAGTTTACAGGGAACATCAGTTTTACATTCATCATTGCATTGTAATGATTACAATCCCCTCCATGCATCATCATTCAACAGTATTTGCTTCTATTTCCTCTGTTTGTTTTTTTGGTGGGGGAGGGGGATGTACACAAAAACACTCAGGAATATATAATCATTTAAACAACCAAAGGACACATTCTGTAAGACTGCCTCCTGGCCACCAGCACACAAGCCTTCTCTTTCCTCAGCTGCTCTCTCTCTCTCTCTCCATGTCCTTATCTCTGTCTCCATCTCTGGTGTGGCTACTTCTCTGGATAGGGTCTCATATTCTGCTCATGTTCTTCTCCCTTGATGGTCCTAGGGTTCTCTGTTCCTACTGTAAGATTAACTACTCCCCTCTTTTTGTTACAAAACATCTACCTTTACAGTTGTGACAGTTGCAATTAGTCATGATAACAATAACTCACTATTCAATCATAAGAATCTTATCCCCATCTCTTTTCACCAGACCTGTCTAGACAAGATGAAAAACTATTCAGTGGGGATTCTACCTTGCCCCATACACTCAAACTAAACTCCCTCCTGAAAACTTGTAAGCCAGTCACTTTGTGCCCTTATAGCTAAGTTTTAAAAAGCCTAATGCTCAAGGCAGATTCTTTTTTTAAACTAATTAAGCTGAATTATTGTTTGGTTTTAAACAAGACTTCGTGGAATATTTTTTGGCTTAAGGTTTAAAGACAAACTCAAGGTAATAGTTACAGGGGTTTCATTGAGACTCCACGGCTCCAGGAAATTTGGATTTCCTAAGAATCTGAAATTCTACTCTGCCTGCATTTTCCTTTTTTTAAAAAGCTTTTGTTGTGAATTAAGTGATAGTTTCCAGAACAGAACATCTGTTTTGCACTCAACCAATCTGTTGCTCCAGGTGAATAGACAACAACTCTTGTGTCTTGGAGGTCAGTCATTTGTAAGTTTTAAAATTCCCCATGCATGATGCATAGAACAAAACACTAAACATATTAAAATAGGCCAATTAACTGGATGTCCCATGAAACCATGACCCTAAACCTCCAAACCAGGAAACCAAATCCCATGAGGTTTGGTTGTAGCCTCAGCAACTAACTTTTTATTGGTCCTTGCTGAAAATACACCACACAACTTTTGTCAATTCAACTTTTCACGGTATATGTATTTCAAAGTATACTCTAAACAGTAGTCTCTTAAAAATGTGTCTTAGTAGTCTAAGTGTTGTATAACACTACCAAAGTATTTTTCAAATGTTTCATAAAACATAGTGATGCTATAAAATACTTAGAATTCTAAAACTACAATGAAGTTTAAGGATCATGGATTAATTAGTCTACCACATCATTCAAAGGATAAGAATGCTAAGGTACAAAGGGTTTAAGTGATTTATCCAATAACATGCCCCATTCCTCTCTTCCATTTTAGGGATGAAGAGATTTTCAAGGACTCAAAAAGTGATCTAGTATGCATCAAAAAATATTACATCATGACCAAGTGGGATTCATATCAGGGATGCAAGGATGGTTTAATATTAGAAAAACAATCAATGTAATCCACCATATAAATAAAAGGAAAAGAACCACATGAATACATCCATTGATGCAGAAAAGGAACTTGACAAAATCCAACATGTATTCCTGATAAAAACACTCAACAAAGTAGGAATTGAAAATTCTTCAACCTAATTAAGAGCATATATACAAAACCAACAGTCAACATCACTCTCAATGGAGAGAAACTAACTGAAAGCCTTCCCTTTGAGAACAGGAACCAAACAAGGATGCCCTTTTATTACCACTCGTACTCAGTATTGTGTTGGAAGACTTAGCCAGAACTATAAGGCAAGATAGGGAAATTTAAGGCACCCAAATTGGAAAAGAAGAAATAACTCTCTATTTGCAGATCCTATACATATAAGACCCTAAAGACTCAGCAAAAAAAAAA